CTCTCTCTCTCTCTCTCTCTCTCTCTCTCTCTCTCTCTCTCTCTCTCTTTCCCCCTTTTTCTTTCTTTTCTTGTTTTTTGGTTTTGTTGAGACAGGGTCTTGCTATGTAATCTAGGCTGGCCTTGAATTCATGGCAATCCTCCTGCCTCAGCCTCCCAGAGTACTAGGATTACAGATATGTGCCACTACACTGAGCCTGTAAAATCCTTATAATAAAGTGGTAAAGCCAGGAGTGGTGGTACACGCCTGTAATTCCAGCACTCCGGGAGGCTGAGGCAGGGAGACTGTAAATTCAAGTCCAGTTTGGGGCAGCTTAGTGACTTAGTGAAAGCTTGTCTCAAAATAAAAATAAATAAAGGGCTAGGGATATAGCTTAGTGCAAAGACCCTGGGTTCAATCTCCAGTATTGAAAAAAATCCTTTTTTCCCCTGAGTTCTATGGGCTATTCTAGCAAATCAGTTGAAGCCAAGGAGGGGGCTGTGGGAGCCCCAATTTATAGCTGGTCAGTCAGAGGCACAGGTAAAGCTATCTGGGCTTCCCACTGGCGCCTGAAGTGGGCCCCAGTCTTGGGGACCACGCCCTGACACTACTCCAGCTTGCGTCAGAACTGAAGTGAATTAGGGGTGTCCCACTGGGGTCTGCTGCTGAGCCCGCTGTTTCTTGGTGTCAGAAGTGACCGTGTGCTCCTCATGGGGTGCAGGCATGCTTGTGATCCAAGCACCCAGGAAGCTGAGGCAGGAGGATCTCCAAGAGTTCAAGACTAGCCTGGGCTACATAGTGAGTTCAAGGCCAGCGTGAACTATAATAGCGAGACCTTGTTAAGGAAAAAGAAAAAAAAAAAAGGAGAAGGAATGACGGTGTTGTGGCAGTGCGGTGGGAAAAACGGAGTCTGGGTTTTGTTTTATCCCTTTGGCTGAATCTTGAAAGCTGACAATGGCCGGTGGAGTCCTCCTGTCCTTCTGCCCCCTCCCCCGACGGCCTGACCCACCCCGGAAAAGGTCTCCCACTTCCAGACCTGCATGCGCGCCCTCGGATTCCAGAACAATCTCACATCTCAGAGTCCACAGCCTTCCTCCTGGCTGCCCGGCCCTCCGGAGCACAGGGTGCTCACAGGCCCTCAGGCCCAGGGCGTGGGCATTTTCTGCAGGACCTTTGTTCTGCTTACGGGGCACAAATTTTTTGTTTGTTTTTAATTGTGTTTTGTTTGGGTACTCAGGATTAAACCAAGGACTTCACACTGAGCTACCTCCCTAGCCTCTCTTTTATTTATTTTTTTTATTTTTTATTTTTTTGTGTGTGTGTGTCTTTTTGAGAGGGTCTCGTTATGCAGTTCAGGCTGTCCTTGAGTTCACTTTGTAACCCATTGGTCTCGAACTCTCAGTGATCCTCCTGCCTCAGCCTCCCGAGTGGTGGGAATATAGGCGTGCGCTACCATACCTGGCTATTTTTTTAATTTGAGGGTGTTAAATTGTCCAAACTGGCTTCAAACTTGTCATCTTCCTGTATCAGCCTCCTTGGTGGCTGGGATTACAGGCATACACCACCATCACCATGCGTGGTGGTTACTTCTTATTTATTAAAATGATTCTGTTTATATTTAATGTAGCAACACCAACTTTCCTTTTTAGTTTTTGTTTTTTTTTATAGTACTGGGGATTGAACCCTAGGCCTTTGCTCTGAGCTACATCCCCAGATCTTTATTTTTTTAGTCAAGGTCTTGCTAAATTGCCTCAGGCTGAATTCAAACTTGTGATCCTCCTGCCTCAGCCTCCCAGAGTGCTAGGATCACAGACGTCCTGCACCACTTCGGCCAGTCACATACAGTTCTTAGGGAACAAACAAAAGCAGCTGATGAGGCAGCCAAATGACGAGGGAGCTCTGAAAAATCGAGGCCTTGCTGAGGAGGTTCTAGAGGTCTGTGGCGAGCCAGGGAGCCGCTGGCATGGGAGGAGACAGCGTCTGTTTATGGGAAGCCTGCGCCCTGGACCCAACAAAAATCCTGTTGACATAACCATGTTGATCAAAGCAATCCCCTGACTGCCCCAGGCCAGTTCCTGTCGCTCAAGGTGGAATTCACTCAGCGGATCCGGATCCGGTGAATATAAAAGGTTTTGTCCTGGGCCGGAGTAGCCGCATCCTGGAAGAGGTAGCCAAGGACCAAGCCTCTCCTGCCAGAGCCAGGCATGGCCCCCTCGGAAGACCCCAGGGACTGGAGAACCACCCTCAAAGACACCGTGGGCCTGGAGACTATCTCTGGTGAGAGGAGCTCAGGGCCCCGGCAGAGGGGAGGTGGCTGGTGAGGGGAGGTGGCTGGCTGGGGTCCCAAGGTGGACGTGGTTCAGGGCTGCTGACCTCCAGCGCAGTGGGCTGCATTCACTTCCCGTATTAAGCAACCTACCAGCGTGTAAATTTCCTCCCGGGCTCTTGTCACATTAAGAACATGTAGTTACAAAGACAAATGTATCACTCTGGTAACCTGAAAAGTTACTTTTTTGGAAGGTAGGAGTTCTGGGGATTGAATCCAGGAAATTTGCCCTAAACCACAACCCCAGCCCTTTTTATTTTGAGACAGGCTTTTGTTAAATTGCCCAGGCTGGGGGCTGGGGATTTAGCTCAGCGGCACAGCACCTGCCTGGCAAGCGAAAGAGCGTGAGTTCGATTCCCAGTACCAGGAAAAAAAAAAAAAAAATTGCCCAGGCTGGGGTCTAATTTGTGATCCTCTTGCCTCAGCTTCCCAGAGTGCTGAGATTACAGGCATGTGCCATAATACCAGGCTGAAAAATCAGTGAGCACAGGCTTTGGATTCCGACAGACCTGCTCCGGCCCTAGCTTCATTGATAAATTGATTGACTGGCTTGTTCACTCTCCTACTGAGTATTGGACTCTGAGCTGGGGGGAATGGCCGGGTTAGACAGCAGGGATCCTCAGAGCAGATGACCCAGGCACAGGTAGGATTCTCTAAGGTTGTGTAGTGGGGGGCTGCTGGGCTTGATGGTGCATACCAGTAAGCCCAGCACTCTGGGAGGCTGAGGCAGGAGGATTACAACTGCAGCCCAGTTTAGCAGGTTAGTCAATAAAGGGCAAGGGATATAGCTCAAAGCTAGGCTCAATTCCCATTAACTCCCCAAAAAGAGAAAATTATGTAGGAGGGGAAGAAATAAAAGCCCCCTGAAGATGAAAGTCTTCGTGCCCCCTGAAGACCACCAATGTTTGTGCAAGCTGAGCTCGGTTTCCTCGTCCCTAGCAGGCAGTGCCAGCCGGCCTCTTGCTGAGGCCCTTGCTACTCACCCTAGGCCCCCCGGACCAGCAGGCGGATCGGCCCCCTGGGTGCTTGGAAGAAAGGCCGGATCTCAGGCCCCACCCAGACGTGTTTTAGCCAGATCCTGGGTAGTTGCTGCACAGTCAAGCGAAGGAGCTGGGGACAAAGGCCTGGAAGGCTAATGGCTGATAAAGGGAGACGCCAGGATTGGAATTCAGGCTGGGGTTGGGGGTGGACTCAGTGCAGAGCGTTTGCCTGGCATGCGTGAGGCCCTGGGTTCATCCCCAGCACTGCAAAACAAAACAAAAATATAAACCACTTGTAGTCCCAGCACTGGGGAGGCTGAGACAGGAGGACCACTGTGTGTTCAAGGTCAGCCTAAATTATATAACAAGACTCTGTCTCCGACAAACAACCAAAACCAAACCAAACCAAAAAACAAAACAAAAACAAAAGCCTCAGGTCTCTCCTATGCTGAAATCATGCCCTTAAAACCCCACCTATCCTATCTATGTCTCTCTATGTAGCTTAGGCTGGCCTCCAACTCACAGCCATCCTCCTGCCTCAGCCTCCCCAGTGCTGGGACAATAGGCGTGTGCCACCACGCCCTGGTTCATCTTTGCATGTCAGTCAGCAAAAAATGAATGAAGTGAGGAACGAGTGAGCAGCCCTCTGTGCCGACGCCAACCTGTGGTCCTTTCCTTCCTTCTAGGTGGGAAGCCAGCCCGACCTCAGGCTGTCCCCATGGCGCATGTGACTTTCGTCATTGACTGTGCCCGTGGGAGGCAGCTCTCCCTGGCAGCACCCCCAGCACCGCCCCAAGTCCCCAGTCCCAGCCAGGGCCCTGTTACCCCGGCAGTGAAGACCTACATTGTGTTCTGCGGGGATAACCAGGCCCCCACGACTCAGGGCATCCCCCTGGAGGGGCCGTGCTCTGCCCAGGCCAAGGACACCCTGTCCCCCTGCGCGGGGGCCAAGGCCCCCACCTCCCGCCCCACCAGCCTGTCCAGCCCTCAGGAGCTTCCTAGAGCCAAGGGGGCTCCCCGGAAGGTGGAGGCTGCGGCCTCTTCACCTTGGGGGGCCGTGAAGGGCTCGCTCAAAAAAGCCCTGTCCTCTTGCGTGTGCGGACAGGCCGATTAGGGCCGACCTCCCTTCCCCAGCCTGGCGGGAGTCTTCCGGCCTGAGCCCGGTGAAGCGCGGGGACTGCAGCAGCCAGGCCAGGGCCGCCACTGTGATTTCCTGGAGGGGCTCACTTTCTCGGGGTGGGGGATGGGAGGATGGAACAAATAACCAAATAAAGGCGACTTGGGACAGGGACACACGTGCTGTGCGGGGGGGGGGGGAAACAGGGCCAGTGTGACAGGGAGGAGCTTTTCCAACTCGGTGCTTGAGAAAAGGACTTGTTGAGCAGGTGACACCAGGGCTGACCTGAGAGACCGCATCTCCTCGCAGGGGAGGTGAGAATGTGGGGCAGAGCGCAGAGGACACTGGGAGCGGGTGTGGCCAACTGATACGGAGAGGAAGCCAGCGGGGTGGCGCAGGCCTGTAATCCCAAGAGGCTGAGGCAGGAGGATCACTGCAAGTTTAAGGCCAGCCCGCGCTACAAAGTGAGCTCAAGGCCAGCCTGCATAGGGAGACCCTGTTTCAAAAAACAAAAAAGAAGGAGGTAATCAGAAATGACACGGAGAGGTGCTGGGGATTTAGCTCAGCGGCACAGCACCTGCCTGGCAAGTGCAAGGTCGTGAGTTCGATTCCCAGTACCGGAAAAAAAGAAAAAAACCAAAAAAAAAAAAAGGACACGGAAGATCATATTTGTTCAAATGGAGATATTATTTTTTATTACTGGACACCAGGCTCAGGATGCGCCCTGGATGGCTCAGTGAATGGAAAAAGGGGTGCTTGATCCCCAACCCACAGGGCAGTCACGCCCTGGAGCAGGAGTGGGGTCAGTGGTGTGAGGGTGTAAGTCTTAAGCGGTGCAAAGCCCTGCGTGAACGCCTCCGTCGTCTGGAAGCTCTCAGACACAGCCGCGGGGAGTTCACCGCTTCTTCAAGGGCGGTCTGTCTACCAGGTCGGACCGCGCAGTCCCTACCCCTTTGGGCTCCGTGCCGGGGAAACAGCGCCCCCAGTGCCCATGTGAGGAAGCACGGTTCACGCACCCACTTCGCAGATCCGGAACAGAGGCACGGAGAGGTTGAGGAAGGCACTCAAGGCCCCACAGCCCGCTGTGAGGTTAGAAGCCAGGCGAGCCAGGAGCCCAAGCTCTTGGCCCACTGGGGCGCACAGCCGCCTGTCCTGGCAGCGGCTGTCCTAGGCAGAGAGGTCCTGAGAGAACGGACACGTCCCTGTCCTCAAACTCACGCCCTGGGGGACTCACTTCCCATCAACGCGATGGCGAGCTTAGCATGCAGACGCGGGGCGCAGGGGAGGCTTCCAGCCAGCTCCAGGGAGATTAGGCTTCCGCAGGCGGCATCTGACCACATCTGACACGAAGGGAAGCGGCTGGGGTGCAGACACTTCCGCCGGAAGGAGCTGGGTCATCCAGGTCTGGCTGGAGTTTTCATCCATTCATTCATCGAGTATTTATTAGGCGCCCAATGAGTGCCAGGCCCTGGCCGGAGCCTGGCGGGGTCAGTGAATGAGACGGAGAAGGCCCCGCCATGGAGGCGCGGGGAAGGACGGCTGTGCACGGATGCACACGAAGAAATCAGAAGAGTGGCAGAGGCCACATCACATGAGCCCTGGCAGGCATGACAAGGTTTATTTTTGGTTTTTTGCAGCAATGAGGATTGAACCCAGGGTCTTTGCACTGAGCTACAACCCCAGCCCGTTTTTTACTTTGAGACTGGGTCTCACTGAGTTGACCAGGCTGGGCTCCAACTTGCAACCCTCCCGCCTCAGCCTCCCAGAGTGCTGAGAGTACAGGCATGGGACACAGCTTTCTGATTTTGTTCTGAGATGGGACAGCCAGATGTGAGCTGAGAACGCCCTGGCCGGGCCCACCTGAGCAGAATGCCCCTCTCTCTGGCTCTTCCGCCTGTAGAATGTAGACAGTTAAGGGAGAGGCCTAGGAGGCTGAGTCAGCTTAAACACCGGGCGCGAAGGCTTGGACTCGACTGGGTGCCGTTGTCATCCAGGCGGCACACACCCGTCCGGAACGCTGGCAGAGCTCCCTGCCCTCTGCTCACCCTGATCACTGCCCTGGAAGAGCCACAAACTACAAAGGAGCTGAGACCCTCAAGGAAAGGCAGGCCCGCGGTTGCACGTCTAATATTCCACCAGCAGGTGTCGCCCTATCACCAGCCCGGAGGACACTGGGTCCAGACCTGGGCGTGGAGAATCTGGGACCTTCAGGACAGAGCTAGCGTGAGGGGGCCACCACCCAACCTTCATTCACGCCCTGAGGAGGGAGTGCTTACGCCAGCCATAGTGACGTTTCCAAATTTTCTGTGGAGTCTCGCTAAGAACTCTGGGAGAGATCAGGAGCGTTTTCTACTGCCCAGATTCCCGCTTCTGCCCCCAAATGTTGAAGATTGAGCCCGGGGACTCACACATGCTAGGTAAGCACTCTACCACTGAGCTATAGCCCCAGCCCTTTTTACTTTTTTTTTTTCTGTCTTTGGAACAGGGTCTTGCTATGCAATTCAGGCTGATCTTGAGCTCACTTTGTAGCCCAGACTGGTCTCAAATTTGCAACGATCCTCCTGCCTCAGCCTCCCCAGTGCTGATATTACAGGCTTTTAATTTTGAAACAAGGTCTTGCTACGTTGCCCCAGACTGGGCTTGAACGTGTGATCCTCCTGCCTCAGCAGGGTTAGAGGTGTGCACCACCACTCCCTGCTGGCCAGATTTATATGCACCCTAAGCCACATCAGTTCACCCCAGCCTCATGAGTGCGTACAGTTTTCACTGCCGTCTTACAGACAAGGAAACAGAGGCACAGGGAGGTTAAACACTTTGCCCAAGGTCTCTAACTACAAAGAGGCAGAGCCCAAAGCTGGCCCCTGGGAGTGTGGCTGCCCAGGGCCAGCCGGCGAAGGACGCTGAGTGCTTCCCGAGGTGGGCGGGTGTGGGGGGTGGATGGATGGGGGCTCCCTGGGTGGGACAGGGAGGGAGCACAGGTGCAGGAGGGAACACGCCCTGTGTGAGGGTTGTGGGACCTGGGGAGACCTAGGCAGGTGGTGGCTGCTCCCTCCCGGAGGGGTGAGGGGGGCAGAGAGGTTGGTGACTGCAGCCACAGGAGGAGGAGGAAGAGGAGGAGGAGGAGCAGAGTGAAGCAGGCCCAAAGGGGAGGAGCTGTATGAAAATGTGGGCCGGCTGGGGGTGCAGCTCAGATTTAGTATGTACAAGGCCCTCAGTTTGATCCCAAGCACTGACCAACTAAAAGGAATAAGCAACATCTATCAATGGGTGTCTTCAATGTTATACACACATGGTCCGATTCTCTGGGTGCTGCGACCCTGTTGTCTTTGACCTATTTACTACTCTGCGTATTGTAAATAACCAACAGGAACCTGACGTAGGTCTTGTCCTCAGACAAGTGGATTCTGCCCTCTTGTGGACAGGCACCAGGCTCCCCCGCCCCCACACTGGCCTCTGTTTGCATAGTCAGCTCAAAATCTCCCAATCTAGCTGAGCAGGATGGTGCCCGCCTGTGACCCAGCTACTCTGGAGGCTGAGACAGGACAACTGCAAGTTCAAGACCAGCCTGGGCAACTTAGCAAGACCCTGTCTCAAAAAATTAATAAAGTGCCGGGTTGGTGGCGCGTGCCTGTAATGCCAGCACTCAGGAGGCTGAGGCAGGAGGATCACTGTGACTTCCAGGCCACACTGGGTTACGTAGTAAATTCAAGGCCAGCCCTCAACTACACAGCAAGACCTTGTTTCAAAAGATAAAATACAATACTAATGGGCTGGGGATGTAGAGCAGTGGAAAGGCCCCAGATTCAACTACAAGTACCTCAAAAAAGGTGGTTAATTTTATGGTATGTTAGCTCAATAATAGCTCTTTAATTCAGTCATCTTGTGTATGTGTGAGAGTAATGACTTTGCTTTTTATTTTAAATTACCTTTTAACAAAGAGAAGCAGGAGGAAGAGATAGGTGCAGTCTGAGAGGTGGGCGATCACAGGAAAGCAGGATTGGGGAGGGGACAAGGGGAGGAAGGTTCCTGAGGGAGTGACCCACACCAAGACTCCTAGCCACTGATCCTGGCTACTCTGGAGGCTGAGCCAAGACTGCAAGTCCGTGGGCTACCCAGCAGGATCCCAACTCAACGTGAAATTTAAGAAGAGGCGGCTACCGAGGCCAAATGCTCTGCAGAAGGATGGTAACAGTGAGCGTTTGCTCTGGGTGCATTCCCGGTGCCAGGCAGCGTGCTGACCCCTTGCACCAGAATGGGAAAATCCCTCCGGCCCTGGGAGACGCTGTGCCATTGTGCAGATGAGGAAACTGAGGCTCTGCAAGGTAAAGCGACTTCAGGGCCACACAGCCAGCCGTCTGCGCCAGAGCCGGGGATAAACAGGCGGTTTGCCCTGAGAGCTTCTCTCTGTCCACTAGGATGACAGGGACGCACAGACTGAGGGCAGGGTCCACCGTCGGTGAGTGGCCAAGTGTGCAAATGAGTGTGCGTATGACTGTGCAGGTGAGCGAGTGTGCAGGTGAGTGCGTGCACCGGTGCTAGGTGGGGCCACACCTCACCCCTGGGCCCCAGGGCCTCACCTTATAGCGCCCGCCCCCACTCCCACTGGAGGCTGTCCCTGAGCCCGGCAGGGTGCTGCACACCTGCAATCCCAGCACTCTGGGAGGCTGAGGCAGGAAGACCGAAAGTTTGAGACTGCGGTAGCCAGACTCCGTTTCAGACCACGGAGAAAGGGGCGGGGATGCAACTCAGTTCAAAGGCCCTGGGTTCAACCTCAAGGACCACAGACAGGAAAGAAGAGGCGGGGAGAGGAGGAGGAGGGGGAGGGAGAGGAGGAGGAGGACGAGGAAGGGGAGCGGAGGGGAGGGGAGGGGAGGGGAGGAGGAGGCTGCGGCTGCCACCAGGCGGCCACCTGGCTGTGCTGACTATAAACACCACCCCTCTCTGCCCAGGGACGCCCTGCCCAGGCCCCCACCCTGCCCCACTGAGCCCAGGGCCGTCTCTGGCTGGGCTGCCCAGCCTGGGGAAGCGGACTCTGTCTTCCTCGCACAGAAAGCTGTCAGCCCGGTGCCCACAAGAACTCACGTTCCTGGCATTTACTCTGAACGCGGCTCTGCCCGGATGGTAGCTGCGGACCTCAGGGGAGGCTGAAGCTCGGGGCTTCCCTCCCCTGCGCCCAGGGCTCAGCTCCACCCACCAACCCCCCCATCCCACACACCCCGTTCCTCGGAGAAGACCCAGGGCCTGCGCCTCTGTCCTCGAGCCCAAGCCAGGGACAGCGCACTGAAGCAGGGCCCGCTCAGCCGCTGATACCATGCAGGTGGCGACTCCGCGGTCGGGCACAGCGCGTGAGGCCCGGATTCACAGGGCTCAGACGCAGCAGTCAGGATCGCTCCCCAGGCGCCACTGTCCTCCCCTTGGCAGACACGGGCCTGCTGGGCTGTGTTTTAACGCTGTAAACATGTATTCGGCTCCTTTTCCAATGCTAGGCTTGGGAGCAACTGAGGCAGAATAAGGCGCGGTCTGACTGCAAAACTAAAATTGGGGGGCACTGTGGAGGATGGGGGGTGGGTCTGAGGACGTCTGAGACCGTCATGTTTCCTCGGCCACTAACTTGCTGTGTGACCCTGGGCCAGGCCCTTCCCCTCTCTGGGCCTGGGTCCCTGCACCCTAGCATGAGGCACTGGGACTGGCTTTTTGAGGGCTGGGGGCCCCAGGCCTGTGCTCCCTCTATCTGCCTTTGGGGTGCTTCTGAAGGTAGGGCTTGGGAAGGGGGACGTCACTGGCTGGCTTGCTGGTAGCTGTGGAGGGCTTTCTGGAGGAGGAGCCCTTTGGCCTGGACCGACCCTCGCTGGCCCTCTGACTATTCAGCTCCTCCTGCCGGCCATCCAGGCCCTCTCCAAAGTTACAAGACCAGGAGGCCCTTGTCCTGGTGGAAGCCGCTGGAGAGGAGTGCGTGGGCAACTCACATGGCTCCCTGGAGGGGTAGGGGGCGATTGATCCGGAGGACCCAAAAGCGGCCTTAATCCCAGCCACCGCGCTTCGAAGCTGGGTGACCTTGGGCCAGTTACTTGACCTTTCTGAGCCCCTTTTCTCCTGCGCGGTAACAGAGCCGCCTCGCAGTGGGGCGTGGCCGGCAAGCTCCGGGCGGGATGAATGGAGCCTTGGTTACTCTTGGCCCGCAGTGCTCAGCCGAGCCTATATTTAGCCCAGGAAGGGGCGGGGGCACACAAAGCGCGGCCCCGCCCGCCCAGCGCGGGGTCACCTTGGCCGGGGCTCCCACGCGCGGGGTACGCCGCGATGGGGTGGGAAGGGCCTGGAGGGGGGTCTAGCCTCGCCGGGCCCGGCCTCGGCAGCCCCTCGCCCCTGGCGGAGCGAGGGCCCTCGCGGGCGGCCGTCAAGGTGAGCCTGACCTCGGCTAGGGAGGAGGAGGGGAGCTCGTCCGGCACCTTCCCTCCGAGCCGCGGGCGATGAGTGTCGGGCTGCAAATAGCCTCGGAATCGGTGAGTCAGGAGGCTGGAAATACCGCACTCTCTCTGCGCTGCTCCTGACCGCAGCCGCTGGCGACACCGCAGAGGGCTCAGGCCTGGATCTCCCTGGGGCCGGGGGGTGGGGTGAGGGCACCTCCGGAGTTCCTCGTCCCAGCCGGTGAGCTTAGGCCAACCTCGCAGCCTCCCTGGGCCGCAGAGCCCCCATCAGGCAGGAGGGCACCGGTGAGCCTGCCCGTCTCTGTCCCATCAGGTGGAAGGGCGCTGGGCACCGCGCTCCACACACAGACTCAGGACTATAAATTTCTCTCGAATGAATAAAAGAAAGGGACAGGCAGCTAGGGGACAGGAGGCCTGAAGGTGTCTCACGGACGGTCCCGGGACTTCTGCGGGTGGGCCAGGGGAGCAGAGGCTGCCAAGGGACCCCCGCCTTCCCCTGAGGGCTGCACCTTTACCTTGGCTTTGTCCCGGGCCCGCAGCCCAGCTGCCTCCACCCTGGGCCTGGGAACCGCAGGCAGGGGACAGAAATCCGTGACACTGTCATTTATTGTGCGTCCAGGTTACAGCGCCCACTCTCCTGCTGCCCCACCTGCCCTCCCCAAGCGCCCCAGAGTGAGAGGGGTCAGAAGCCCCTGACCCTGAGCTTAGCCAAGAAGCAGTGGCACAGGTGGCCCCACCTCTTTCCTGAGCCCCTCACTGACTGTGAACCACCCTCTCCCCTCCCCCCCGCTTTGGAAGCCTGAGCCACACTCACGGATCGGGGACCAGGAGGGAACGGGTCTCAGGGCTCTCTCTGTGACCCCTCCACCCCAGCAGGACGCAGAGCCCCAGGGGGACAGAGTGAGGGGACTCCCCTTGGCCTCAGAGTTGGGGCTGAGGACCACGGACATCCTGGGCTCGCATCTACCCTCCAGTGACAAAGGCCAGTGCCAAGGGCTTGCTAGACACTCAAGTTTCCCCATGGATAAAAATGGAGGGGCGGAGTCCACTTTTAGGGTGCTTTGATTTGGCCTCACTGAGGATGTGAAGGACAATGGGCCTGGGGTGTGGGTTCCACACGAAGCCCCCAGATGTGCGGATGGGTGGAGGGCGGGAAGGGTGGGTGCACCTGAGGGGTGGGGCGATTGCAGGAGACGGTCACTGTAGGGGACCCTGGCTGCAGGGGGAGCGACCCGGGAGCCCAGGTCTGCGGTGGGGGAGGACAAGTCCCACACACCTGCAGGCACCAGGCAGGTAGGGGACAGCAGGATTTCACCCGGTTTGTCACGAACCAGCTGTATTGGAAAAATCCCATCTGTGCAGACGGACGTGCCCTGTCCGGGCACAGCTGGCGGGCTGGGTTGCAGGGGGTGGCCAGGGGAGGTGTCATCACGCTGTGGCCTCCCAGGCCCTCCGGCAGTCTCACCTGGATGGGCACTTTGCCCGTGACCTTCCCTCAGCCTGAGCTGCTCTGCTTTGCCAGGGAACCACTGGTCCAGCGCGCCCCCCTCGCCCCCCCGCTTTTGGCTCCCCTGTCTGTCTGTCCTGCAGATCTTTTGTCCAGAGGCCCTGCCTGTCCCCTCCCCCTTCCTCAAAGTGGGTCTTTAGGACCTAGCTGTCCCTACCCAGCCCCTCAATTCCTAATTGAGAGATACCTTCTCTGGAATCTCGGGGCCACACGGAGATACGGGGGTTGCCGGCTGCCCTTGGTAGAGTGGAGGGCCCTAGTTTGGGGGCGATGCCCGCCTGGGGCCTAGGGGCTCCAGGAGCTGAGCTGAGCTGTCCTGGGGGGGGCGTCGTCCGGGACTCGGTAGGCTCTAGGGAGGCCCCTCGGGGAGGAGGGAGAGCAGGCAGGGCAGTGGTTGCGGGCCTCAGATTTTGATCTCGGTCCGGAAGGTCTGCTGGACGTGCTCCGTGTGCGGGTGACGCCGAGCCCGGATGGTGAGGCTGCCGTCCTCCCGCAGGGCTGAGGTCACCGAGGTTGGGTCCACGTCCTCCGGCAGCTGGCACTTGTGAGCGAAGGTGTTCATGACAGTGCCGTCCGCCGCCAGCTGGGGAGGGCGATGGGTCAGGGCAGGCCGTCTCCAGGCCTGTCCCCTGCTCACAGCCGGGCCCTGAGCACGGAGAGCCCTGGGCTCTTGACATGCAGGCACGCGGGGTCCTCCGTGGGGCCAGGCCGCCCGCCCCACCCCCACAGCTCTGCCAGCACATAGCGTCCAGAGGAGTCTGCGGTGGCTGAGTCACCGTCGGGGCGCAGGGCGGCACGTGCTGCCTCTGGCCCCGTCCTCACGCCGCTGGCAGGGGCCCCCATTCCAGCCTCACACGCCCAGGGGAGGAGCAGGAAGCCTTGGTCACATCTCCTTCCAGCTGCAGCTGGCCGGAGTGACCCAGAGTGGCTTTCCTGTCGACCTGGGCACAGCCTCTGCCCACGCGGAGGGCACAAGGCCTTCTGGGGCTCAGGCTTAGTGACCCAGTGGCCCTGAGATCTGTGGGTGGAGGATGTGTCACTTGGAGGGTGTGTGACCCTGATCTTTGAGTCTTCTGCCCAGCCGGGGCCACAATTCAGGGGTCCCAGGATGGGGTCTGGGCCTCTGGCTCCCAGTGGAAGAGAGCTGGAGGGGTGGCGTGTGGGGACAGCCATCCTCCACTGCCCAGGGAGTCCTCCACCTCCTCAGCTGCCCACCAGCCTCTGCCGGGGGACCTGGCCTCACTCCACCATTGTGCCCTCCCTGGGCCCCACCCCGTGTGTCAGCCCCTCGTGCCCCTCACGCCTCTCCCGCCCCCCAAGACCCCTCAGCTGCTGTGGGCTCCTGCACTGCACGTCTGGACACCTCAGGGCGGAGAGAGGCATAAGGGGGTCCCTGAGCTACGGGAGCTGTGGTCCCCACTTTGCCCCGGGGGAGTTCAGATAGGGAAGGGACTCTGCTCGGGACCTGAAGTTCCAGGAGAGGGGATGGAGGCGGGGACAGAGGGCAGGGGCCGGACGAGGAGGGGACCGGGAGTGGAGTGGGCCGTGGGGCCGGGCCCGGCTCACCTTCTCTGCCCGAACCTCGATGTGGTTGTTGGAGGTGGTGACGATGATGTCCTCAGGGGAGAAGTCTCTGACGTCCACTGCAAACTCGTAGGCGTCTCCAAGGGTCTTGATGTTGCCTGGTCCTGCGGGGCGGGCTGTGGGGAGGGTGACGGTGAGCTGGGCAGGGCCAGGGCTGCACTGGGAACCTGGGTCTCTGCCCCTGTCTAGCGGGGGGGTCAGCGCCACCAGGTGATGGCGCTCCTGGTCCCCGCGGCCACCTCCTCCTTGGAGCCTACCCTTTCCGTGGTGGGGATGGCCTCCCGTACCCCGACATCAGCCTGCGGCAGCCACGGCCCCCTCAGTGCCCACCGGTCCTCCAGGGCTCCAGCAGATATGGCGGAAGTCACGAGCCCGTGTGGGGCCCCCTGGGGCCCAGCTGCTTTCGTGACCACATCTGCTTTGGTGGCCACATCTGTCGTGGTGGCCACAGGTGGCTGCAGGCTGCGTGGCACGTGTTCCTGGCAGTGGCAGCCACAGGACCTTGGCTGATGCCTGGAGTGGATGTTCCCAGCCTCTGCATGTCCCCTGCCCCCAGAGCCGCACACTTGCCTGGGAAGGCCAGGGGCTCCGAGTGGGGCCTCATGAAGCTGCCAAAGTCCTCGGAAAACAAGCTCAGGGCCTTCTCCATGGGTGGGTCCTGGGGCGGGAGGGCATGGGAGGCCGCAGAGGAGGAGGAGGAGGAGGAGGAGGAGGAGGAGGAGGAGTGGAAGCTTCTCTCCGCTCTGAAGGAGGAGGAGGTCCGGTGGCTCATCCACAGGCAGCGCTGGGCCCTGAGCGGGCAGAGGCGGAACAGGAGAAGGCGTGGGTGCGGGGCTCCGGCGGAGCGTGCTGGGCCCCGACTGCCCGCGCTTTATAAGGGCCGGCTGTCCCTGGGCGCAGGGCCAGCCCCTTGTCTGCTCGCTAAATTTAGGCCTCTTCATGGTCCGGAGGGGGCTGGAAATCTTCTCCGAGCACGGAGCTGCTGACAGCACCACACAGGCAGGCCGGAGGGCTGAGCTCACAGCCTGGCATTCCAGGCCCATGGCTCCAGCCCCAAGGGCCTCCGCACCCCACGGGGCAGGGGGCTGGATCCTGCCCCCTTACCACCCGGGTCCAGTTCTACCCCAGGGCTTCGTAGGTTTGGTGTCTCCCCCATCAGTCTGGGGGGTCGCTAGGGATGGTGCATCCCCCTTCAGCACTGTAAACTCCTTGAAGACAGGGTGGGCGCAGGACCCCCTCCTGGGCTGCCAGGAGCTGAGGACCCCTGTGGGGGAGGATGTGCAGCTGTGCCCCTGCCAGCTCCCAGTGGGACCTGGATCCCACGCCCCTGCACTTGGAACATTTAGGGGCCCAAGAAAGCGAGCTGGCAGCCCGAGGCAGGGCTGGGGTTGGGCTCCAACTCAGCCAGGGGGCAGACACTTAGGTCATTGGCCTTAAAGATCTAGGAGGTCAACTTCCCAGCAACTGCTTGACCTCGGACTCGGTTCCAGAGACAGATACCCTAGCTCTGGCTTTGGGGTGCCTCTGGACACAGGCTCCCCTTTGGAGGATGGTCTTCAACCCTCCCTACCCCTACTCACAGTGAGATATTAGGTTCACTTTATAGACAGGAAAACAGAGCGTACCCAAAGGGAGAGGCTGAGATTTTTGCAAGAGGCAGAGCTGCGATTCGAACCCAAACCCATCTGACCTAGGTCCCTTTTTGAACATACACTTGTGGAGACGGAAGACCCAGAAAAGCCCCTCCCCGCACACCTGCTGCTCCACAGAGCAGGGACCGAGGTTATGTGGGATCAGGATGGGGCAGAGCTGGGGAAGCTCAGCCGGGAAGCCGCTCTCTGTTCCGGAGGCAGCCTGGGGCTCTGCTCCCAAATCCTACCCTCCCTCCTCAGAGCAGCATGAGCCCCAGCTCCCTGCCCTTCCCCTCTATTTGCTCCAGTCTCTCACTGCCGGCCAGGTGTCCTAGCAGGGTCCTCGCCCACGCCCAGCACCAGGCAGTATGGCATCGTCTTCATGTGTGTGTGCGTATGTGCGTGTGCATGTGTGTGTGTGTGATTAGGAATTACACCCAGGGCCTTCACACTGAGCCACATCCCTCCCCCACTTTTTTTGAGACAGGGTCTAAGTCCCTAAGTTGCTCAGGCTCCGTTCCAATTTGCCATCCTGCCTCAGCCTCCCAGAGTGGCGGGATTACAGACATGCACCACCATGCCTGCTGGTCTTCCTGTTCGGAGACTTCTCTGTGAGGTCCTGTCCCTCCCCAGCCGCACTTCTCCTCAGGCACTGTTTGCGAAGAACATTTAAGGGTCCGGGCTCCCCCTGTTAGGAGGGCTGCCTCCTTTTCCCCTGGCTCCCAAGAACCCCAGTCTGGAGCTCCATCCCTGGGGGATCCCTGCAGGGCTGTCACAGCGCCCGCGGTATGGGAGGGGGAGGGGCAGGGCACGGTGGGGGCCGAGGTGCTGGCTGGAGCAGGAGGGGTCTGTCTCTCCCTGCCTGCGTCCTGCCTGCATCCCTGAGTCCCAGCGGGGGCGCTGGCCGTGCTGCTGAGAAATGACGACACAGAGGTGAGGGGCAAAGTGGTGGGGGCACCGCCAGGGAACAGGAGCCAGTGGCTAAATGCAGACGCTCTGTCATGGTGCCGAGGGCCTGAGTCACTCCTCCTGGACCTCGATCCCTTTCCCACCCCCGCCCACCCCACCCTCCATCCCCATGCCAGGCAGGCGTCATCCCCATAAATGCGGAACCTTCTGGCTTTGGTGGCCAGGAGGGACCTCCCAAGGTCACCAAGGCCATTTCCCCGACTCTGGCCTGTCTCTTTCCCAAGACCACAGGGGTGAGGGCACTTCAGTGACGATGCAGTCCTCACAGGGCATGGTGGTGCATACCTGTAATCCTAGCACTCAGGAGGCTGAGGCAGGAGGATCACTGTGAGTTTGAGGCCATCTTGGGCTACATAAGTGAGTTCAAGAGCAGCCTGAACTGCAAAGTGAGACCCTGTCTCAAAAAGACCAAAGGGGGGGGGAAAAAAAGTGATGCAGTCCTTGGGAAGGTGTGGTGGTTTGCACCTGCAATCCCAGCACCTTGGGAGGCTGAGGCAGGAGGATTACCACATTTGATCCCAGCCTGGGCAACTTAGCAATTAAGGGAGAACTTGTCTCAGAATTTAAAACGGGCTGAGGATGTAGCTCAGTGTAAAGGCCCTAGGTTCAATCCCTGTACTACAAAACAACAAAACAACAACAGCAACAATGACAAAAAAAGACCAAAAAAACCCCACCCCATTGAATCCAGGGAGCACCCCAACTCTTGGGACATTCTCACAAATGCAGTGCCCTGAGATTCCTCTTGGCATCTGGGAAGGGTCCAGAGTCTGTTTCCCCTCCGCCCCCGTGCGCTCAGAATCTATAGGGACACCTCCGATGTGCTGGGCACTGCCAGGCCTGGGCACTTGGATGAGTGAGTCCGAGGCAGACCACTGCTCCCACGCTCTCCTCACCAGACAGAAGGGGAAACTGAGGCTCGGGGGGCAAAGGAGCTGGGCACAGCCGAGCTGCTACGGCTTCAAGCCAGCCCTCACTGTCCTGAGCCGCCTCCATGGCTGCCCGGCGCTGGAGGCAGGCACAAGAGAAATGGGGGCAGGCAGGTGGGCACGGTGTGTCCCCTCGGGGCCTCTTCTTGGTTTCCTGGTGCTCACAGGACTGGAAGCGAGGGTGTGGACGTGTGGGTGCAGTTGTGGATTGTAGCACAGCTGCCTGAGAGCAGATGCCGGGGCCTGGGCTGTCAACAGGGCAGTCACAGACCGAGGTGGCCCTGGACCACGCAGCGCCCTGGACCACGGGGTCTCACTTGTCCCCAGCACAAGCAACGCCGCACCTGCTCTGCAGTGAACCTACTTGGCCGGGCTGCCAGGGCCAGAGGCAGCTCAGGGTCTCAGTTTTTCCCGAATCCCTGGAGACCCAGCATGGTTTTCCAGGAGGTCATTTGTCTGGGGCAGGGGACAGTTGTCCCTGGTCTCTTTTCCAAATCTTCTAAAAGTGGACCTGGCACAGACCCTCAGCTTTATGCCCAAACTGTTGCTCTGCTGAAACCTGCGGAACCAGGGGAGCAACCAGTAGGGAAAGCGGCTTGCTCTGCAAGCTCAGAGCTCAGCCTCTGCTGTGTGATCTTGGACGAGTGACAGACCCTCTCTGACCTGCCCCTTGTCATCTGCAAAATGGTGAAGCTGTTCATACTGACAAGGGATGGGTGGCTGAACTGCGCTGCAGACGCGGGCTCCTGGTGCACAAGGCTCATTCACTGCATGTGCCTGCTCCGAGCTCCTGCCCTCCACCCAGTGAGACGAGGTCGGGAGTTATCCAGAGGCCCCGGTGGACGATGTGGTTTGAGAAGCCGTTGGCTGAGACAGGAGGGTCTGCACATGAAGTCCAAGTTCCTCACCTGGCTGTGGAGACCTTTGCCCTCTGCCTCCTCCCCACCGCTGAACAAGATGGGGCTGTCAAGTTAGGGTGGGGGCCAGAGCGTGCAGGGCGGGGTCCTGGTCTGCTGTGGGCCTCTGTGACCTTGGATTTTGTTGTTGGCTGATGATAATTGTTGCTTGGGGGGTGCAGTACTGAGGATGGAAACCAGCGCCTTCATACTGGCTACATCTCTCGCCCTTTTATGTTCTATTTTGAGACTGGGTCTCACTAGTCACTAAATTGCCCAGGCTGGACTTGAACTTGCAATCCTGCCTCCGCCACCTGGTGTGCTGAGATGACAGGTGTGCATCACCAAGCCAGCAGTGATGATGATGTTCTTATTTTTCATCTTTTATTTATTTTTTTGAGACAAAGTCTCCCTATGTAGTTCAGGCTGGCCGTAAGTTCATTTTGTAGCCCAGGCTGGCCTTGAAATCACAGTGATCCTCCTGCCTCAGCCTCCTGAGTTTTGGGAATACAGGTGTGTGCCACCATGCCTGGCTTTTTTATTTATTTATGTATTTATTTATTTATTTATAGT